AACAAGAGTGTTTTATATTTAACCACTACACTGATGCTCTCTTCAACAAATTGAAATGAGCAATACATATATTGCTTAATGGCATGCACCAGTTAGAGGAAAAATCATGTATCATGGGCATTTGTCAAACGGTACTCTGCAGGCGTCCCATTGAACCCTTGGCTGAAATATTGACTGAAATCTTAGCTGTCTAATGGAATTATACTGTAGACAGTGGCTTGTACTAAGACAGGAGTGTAAGTGGTTGCTATTATTCATATTGTGGGCTACAGAAAAGATATTGTTGGCTTACAAGTTGGACTGAATTATTTTGACACTTCATTGTGATATCAAAGATATGCACTGCGTCCCTCCTCCTCTTTGGTGCAACATTCAAAGATCATGATTCACACCTATGCAATAATAACATTGCTACTGTACTTCTTCCTTTCCTGGCCCTCTCCTTACCTTTCACTTTCTTAGACGAAATATTACTCCCATCTAAATTTTTCAATTCCTCTGTGTTCCTAGTCCTTGAAAAAATAAATTCTGTTCACCTATCAACTAGCACTATTTACTCATTACCCTCTTCACTCCTCACCACTTTCATAATCACTAACCTCATTCTCACATTAATTGTTGTAGTTAAAATTATTAACTTCTCTTCCAGATAAGTCCTGCCTTCCAAATCCTAGTAACAGAGAATAGTTTAAAAAATATTAATTTTGTAAATAAAAGACAAATCTCTAGGCTTTTTTCATTGAAACCCATGCATTTTTATTAGCTTCAAAACAAACCTAATAAAACCATTGAAAATTACAACTATTCCAAATTATTTACAGAAAAAAATATTGTTGGCTTACAAGTTGAAATGAATTATTTTCATACTTCAAAATGATATCAAAGATATATGCACTACTTGTAGTTCCTCTTTGCTGCAACATTCAGTGATCATAATTCACACCTATTCAATAATATTAACTTTACTACTGTACTCCAATACATTTTATATATTACTTCAGAGTCATTAATACTTCTGTTTTCTATTTTCTTTTATTTACTATGTTGCTCACGTAGAATTTTTATAGACCAATTTGCCGAGGAATAGACTCGGAAATGTAAATAAAAAAATCCAGTCAGTTTGTCTCTAATTTATTCCTGAAATCAGTTGTTCTATCTATGCAAACTTTAATCCTTAGTACACTCTTTCAAATTCTTCCACCAACCTCTGTAACTTGTTTTCCTAATCTAGAAGAAACACTTTGATTAGCAATGTCGTCTGAAAATTCATGTTTTATATCCCATGCTTTAAGGCAAATACTTAATCGACACACCCCAATTCCTCTCTAAATCTTTCCTCAGTATTTCTACTATTTATTTTCTCCTAAGTCTATATTCTCCCGTAGCCCGGCTAGTTAGAATAACCCACACGTTTTACACATCACATAGTGTGTAAACAATTCCCCCAAAATTTTTCATAATAATTCTCGCTTTATTATTAACTAGTACACTCAATGGAAATATTTCCCTTTTATTCTTCAGTACTTTCTCGTTATTATCCTCTTTATACTCAAAAAATATACATTTTCTGGACTAATCCATAAATACCCTACTTTCATTCTTATTTGAAAGAAAAAAATCATCAGCAGTTTCGATACCCTTCTCCCTCCTACTTTCAGAATCTCAAATTTAATCCTTTCCATCACCTTTGAATTATCTTCATTCATACTGCACACTATCTTACTTTCTCTTCCATTAGCTCTTGCTTCTTCCTTCTCCATATATATTTAAGGAAATCTTGCCAGATTGTTTAAAATAATCTATGTTTCAGCCTTCACATTTCGCAATTCACTAAGGGAATATCTCTTCATCTCCCCAATGCATTCATTGCCACTTGTAAGATGTCATTACTTACCCACTTAACTGCAAAGTCTATTTGCTTAATTTGGCTTCTTTGTTCATCAATCTGCAAAACTGTTTCATATTCCCAGCAAATTTTGCTGATAAAAACCTTCTTTAATTTACTTTTATTTACCACATTTCTTTCTCCTTTTCTTTTCTCTTCAACCTCATCTCATATTTCCTCTTTCCCGCTCAGCTTTCTCACAACAACTGCTCATATTACTCACTCATCGTCTTCTTTGGTTCAGTCTGTTATTTACCTTTTATCCACTATCACTATTCTTCTTGTGTTTCACCTATATCTTACTCTTCCTCTAGCTACCTCTGTAAATTACCTAATATGTCAGTTATTGGTCTAAAACGTACACATCCAGACGTCCAGCCTTCAACCATTTACCTAACTATACTGTCTAGCAAACTGCTTTAACGGGCAGTCTTCGTTTTTATATATATATATATTCTTTTCTTCTTAAAAAAATATTTATATATGTATTGACTATAGCCAGACACTGTTCAATGAAATGTTTCCTTTTTATATTTTTACTTCCATCTCTTCAAACAGTTCTATTGAGTCTCCGCAACAATGTCTCCTGTTTTAGAAATAAAGTCTTCCAAAACATTTACTCTTTAACTATGATGAAAATTCTCTAAGCTATCGCTTAATATATATCAGCATTTTCCATTCTTATCTACAATCGTGTAATTCATATTATAACCCTTTCTCATATCGTTTTATATTCTATAAAAAAATAATTCTGGAATTCAATCATTCATACCCACTGTATTCTTTCCCAAAAGACAGTTTAACTTTAACCTTGCGTCTTACTAAGCTCTCGAATTCATAAACAAGTTCTCGTATCTTTTTGAGATCATTTAACATTACAAAACCGAAGATTACAATGTGGCTAAGTCAGTGCACCTGTCGACCTAAAATTAATTGTACGTTGGTTTGATCCCTGGTATGTTTTTCACATTTTCTTATTATCAAACTTCAGCTAGGAATCATGCGGTGTAGGAATCTTTGTGTATAGAGCTTGATGAACAAATGATGCTACGAACACAAAAAGATAAAATGTACACTTTGTTGGTAAGTAGGTATAGTGGTGGATTTTAATTCCTTACCTAGTTTGCGATGAACAATGAATGTGTCACCAAGAAGATTTAACGTAGCAAAGATGTTATGTTTGAGATAATTGAATTTTTCAGATGTAATTTGAAGAATAAAGTGAATAGAAATTAGAAGAACCATTTAGTCTGACCTCTGAGTCAGTTGACATACGGACATACTCTTGTGATCTGTAGTTGTGAAAACATCAGCCACATCTATACAGGTAGTTGAGTTTTGCGGCATTTTTGGAGAGGCGAGGCCGGGAGCTGAGAATCAACAACATTACGTGAGTGTCCACACTAGGATTTGAATTAGGATACCTCACAAGCTTTAAACAATACCTACTACTCACAAATATGCACATTTAATACCTCATGGAGAGAACTAGAGCAGTTAAAGTGTATTAAACGACCTTGATATAGATTCGTGGTGAAGTTGAGCTGCTGCCTCCTGACAACCTTCTCATCCAGGCAACCTCTAACTATCTTGCAGCTCCACCTGACATTTCCAAATGTAACAAATTATTCACCCTTAAACGAAAGCTTGTAAATACTCGTTTATTAAAAAAAAACTATCAAGAACACTGCTAAAGCCTTCGACAGGTGCGATAATGGTGTAATAGTGTATAAAATGCGTGCTATAGGAATAACTGGAAAAGTGGGCAGATGGATCTTTAACATTCCAACCATTAGAACCCTTAGAGTTATGTCGGAAGCTCCTACAGCGAAAAGTTCTGTTCCTCATTCTTTTATCTGGCATAGACAGATATGAAACCATAGCATTGTGGTTTCCTTTGCAGATGATACTAATATCTGCTTGAAAGTTTCATCCATTGAGGACAGAGTAAATCTCCGAGCGGGTATAAACCAAGTTTTCCAATGGGCCGCGGTAAACAATACGATGTTCTTTGAGGTCAGAATTCAATTGTTCCGTTATGGAACACATGAGGGAATAATAACTGGAATGGAGTATACAACAAATTCTAACAATACAATAGAGAGAAAAACTGATGTAGAGGAGTTGGGAGTGACAATGTCAGAGAATTTTACCTTCAAAGGTCACAATAGTGCCAGTGTCACATCTGTGAGGAAACTAATAGGATAATGAGAACTTTCAAAACAAGGGGATGCCATGCCAGCGATGATCCATCTTTAAGTCACTTGTTCTCTCTAGATTAGAACACTGTTGTACATTAGTTTGAAGTTTCTTGAGTTGTGCTTCCCAGAAAGCAAGCGAGAAAGACTCATCTTAATCTACACCTGGAAAATCCTAAGGGTCTGGTCCCAAATCAGCATACATAAATCATTCCCTACGAAAGCAAAATACTAAGTAGACAGTGTGCAATATTAAGCAGACATGGTGCAATGAGTTCATCGAAAAAAAAAAAAAACAATCATACATAAGGGGAATTACCAATAGGCCCCTGTATGTCTTCAAGAGTGGACTGGACAGATACCTAAAGTCAGTACCCGATCAGCTGGGCTGTGGTGCATACATTGGATTGCGGGCGGTCTAAGGTAACAACCTGGTTCATCACAGCCCTGATCCATCCTGAAATCTAGTCGAGGACCTGGCCGCGGGCTCTTTCGTAGCATCAGAACATTTCCCTTCCCCACCTGAAAAGAAGGGAAATGACTCGATGCAGTTTACACTAACACATGTTGACTCTTTAATTCGCCAAGTGATTTTTACATTCGTAATATTATTGAGCCCTCATGAACAAGTGCATTTAGCGTCAGCCATTGCTAAGTAACGTAACAATACTTGCACTATGCAATGATAGACTTTTCTTCCCCAGTCTTATTATACATTCAAAACAGAGAGGTTTAATATATGCATAAAAAATTAATGACGCACATGATTGACAATCCTTAGCAAAATAAACTGGCCCATCTAAAAAAAAAAGAACTTGTCTTGGAGGTACAAGTAGTACGAGCAAATGGCAACTGTCACCAAGATCGTTCTATAAGTAGCGTCGCTCTTCAGAAGTCTACCATCAGTTCCATCTTAAGTCAAGCGTCATGCAGTTAGTAAGTTTACCATCTATTTGATGTAATATGACAAAACATATTCGCCGAATATTATTAGCCGAAGAGGTTACTTTTTTAAAAGTGTACTCATAGTCTGTCTATGAAGTTGAAGTACATAATCTTAAACATATTAAATCTTGTGTGTATTTTGCAGGTAGTTCTTGCCGTGCTGGCCTCTGTGGCCATTGCTGCCCCCCAGTACGAAGCCCCAGCTCCATCTCCTTCTCGCTACGGTGATGATGACTCTAAAGAGCATGTTCCAATCCTGAAGGACGAACGTGTCCACGAAGATGACGGAACTTACTCCGTCTCGGTAGAGACTGGTGACGGCATCCAGTTGTCAGAATCTGGAGCTCCCACCGGTCCCGAGGGTGCAATAGAATCATCTGGACAATATTCGTAAGTTTTCATGTACATTAATTTTTTTTTTGTTTGTAAACATGTGCATTTTTTAAAAACTTCTTACTTAACATTGTGTCTCATGAATATGCTTCCAACAGTTACACAGCTCCTGACGGCACAAAAGTCTCTCTGTCTTATGTTGCCGATGAGAATGGCTTCCAGCCCCAGTCTGACTTACTGCCAGTGGCTCCTGAGTTCCCCCATGAAATCCCTGAGTTCGTTCAAGAGCAGATTGCCTTCGCTGCTAAGGAAGATGCTGAACGCGAGCGCGAGGAAGCCAGAGCCCCATCCAGATCTTATGGAGCTCCACAATAAATGATTAGTCTTCTAATGATTATTTATACTAAAGAAACTGTCATTTGAATATTCTGTGTGTGGCTTTTCTTGTGATGTTTTCAGCCTGTGTATTTATAAAAAGTGAAAATAAAGAAAGTTATGCTATGTAGATGTTTTTCTTGGTGATAAAGTGACACTAATAATTATACTACTACTATTACTACTACAACTACTAATTAATTATTATTATTATTATTATTATTATTATTATTATTATTATTATTATTATTATTATTATTATTATTATTATCAAATTTTATAGCCGCGAGGAGGCGAAAGCCCCCTCCAGAACTTACGGCGCTCCTGAATAAATGACTACTCTGCTGCTGCTGCTGCTTATTTATACTAAAGTAAATGATGTATATAGACATGCGGATTTTCTTGCAAAGATTTTAGCCTTTGTATATATAGTCTGTTAATTTATGAAACTGTTTAAATGCATCCTCATAATATAATTGTTGTATAAATGTATAACCTGGAATGCTAAGTTAGATCATTTTAATATTTCTTAAATGTGCCTTCGGTCAACTTTAAAACAATGCAACAAAAATAATAACGTATATTTATGTATCAAACTGATGCTCTTTTCACCAAAATAAATGTGCAATGTATCTCGTGTATGTTGGTATTGAATACATCAGGGAAAAAATTTCTTAACATGGTTCTTTTCCATACTGTGATTCGTGGAATCATGCCCTCAGACCCCTGCTAGTAGTGGCGCATGAAATATAAGCATTTGTATAGAGCTATAATGTATATAGTTGTGTCCATTAAGACATACGTTTAAGGGGTTGCCATTTTTACTGATGTGGGCTACAGAAAAGATATCGTTGGCTTTCAAGTTGAACTAAATAGTTCGATTTTTTTTTACATTATTTTCACACTTCACAATGATATTAAGATAATATTTACACTGCCTATAACTTCCTCTTCTCTGAAATTTTCGAGGATCATGATTCACACGACTGTCACTTCTACTCATACATGCCTAAACAAATACTCCTCAACGTTTTATTTCTTGCATTAGTTGAATTTTTTTTTTTCCAACTGAGTCCTCAACATTTCGGTTATCTTCAATCCTTTATTTTTTTCGTTAGTCATGAGGAATTATTATAGACCAATTTGCCGAGGCAATCACTCCTAAATATCAAAATACTATCAGTTCCTTTGTTATTTCTCTCTGCAAGCATATGTTAAATTTTTCATTGCTTGAATTTAAATCGTGTATACACCCTTTTAAATTTTCCCACGAACCTCTGTAACTTGAAACTCTCAATCTCCCAGAAAAGCTTTCATTAGGAATTTCCACCGTCACTTACCACTTTATATCGTGTACTTTAACGTAAATATTTAATGAATACAACCTATTTCCTTCTTAAATTCACCTTGTTCCTTTGCAATTCCGGTCTGCCTTTTCACTCCAACTCTTTATTTTTTCCTTATCCTGGCTTTCTGGATGAGCCTAAACCAGTCCTTGCCTTGAAGAACCCACACTGGCTTAGCGCATTGAAGAGTGTGCAAACAATCTCCCAGAACCTGCAGAAATTGACAACACACCTCCCAACAATTCTCAACCAAAGGTGAATTTGTGCAAATATTATGCTTGGGGCATCTGTAAGCATGGAATAACAGGGGAAAAAAATGGGAGATGCAACTTTGACCATCCCAAAAAATGTAGCGACCTCGTGTCTAAAGGAGTGTGTCGTTCTTCTTCCTGTACTTTCTTTCACCCAAAAATGTGCCACTCCTCGGTCCTCCAGAAGCAGTGTTTCAACATCGAGTGCCCTGCATACCATCTAAAAGGGACCAGGAGGCACAGACCCCACAAGACAAACAATAGTAGCTACGACAAACCAACTCCAGGTGATTTTTTAGTGGCAGGAAACGAAAAAAGAAAATGGAAGGAAATAACAAAAATAGTCCACCACCTTGGAGCCTTGTTGGACTGGAGGCGCAGCCAGTGGCCACCCATGGCCCTCCAGAATTACAACTACTGATGCCAATAACAAAATCCCCCAACAAACACAGAATACAACCTCGTTCATATTTGCTAATATACAGGGCCTTAAGCCATCCACCAACAACAAAATACCTTTTATCAGGGGACTTCAAGTGGAGTCTAATGAAAATTTTTGCACCCCCTTCACAGGACCACACAAAAGTTTCACTTTGAAAAAGTGAAATTTTGGAAAAGGGTTAAAACCCTTTTTTAGATGCGACAGAAAAAACGGGAAAAACGGGGGGGGTTGGCCCGTAGTCAAAACCCCTTATCTAAAAACGAAGTTGTTTGAACACCAAAAATGGGGTATTGGGAAGTTCTATCAATAAAGACGAGCCCAAAAACCCCTGGTCATTGTGGTTGTAAAAACAAGCCACCAGATGCAACCTCACAACATTTCCAAGGAACAGAAAAATTTAAAATCGTTTACTTTTTGGGAAAAAACCTTCCAGCCCCCACCCCCCAAACACTTACAGCGGGTAAATTTCAACCTAAGGCATAAAAAAGGGGGAAAATGTACAAAAAAAGTTATAGCTGAAACAACCCCCGGGAGGTAGCGCAGATAAAAAGGCACCACACATGAGCAAACTAAGCCCTCTGCGAAAAACACACCTTAAGCCAGCAGATAGGGGGCGCCAACAAGACTAGAAAACAAAACTTGACCTTATTTTTCAAAATAATGAGGACCTGAAAGGACATAAAAAAATAAAAAACAACTAATTCCGCCCCACAATCTAATCGAATTTCCAAAACGTAATGCATAGGGGCCCCTAAAACGGGCAAATGCATGTACCTGTAAAAGGTTCTTCAAAAAATACAATTTCAACAACAAGAAAAATAAAAACCTGGGACCAGGTAAACCATGTCCAAAACAAAACATGGGGGGGAAGATTTCTTAAATGAATGGACCCAAACCATGCCTTGAAAGGATCAACTTCCGGGTGGGCCGAAGCAGTTTGGGCATATTCCCCTAAAAAAGAAGAAGAGCGGGATAAATTTGGAGAGAAAAAAGACCTCCCCCCTACAGAAAAACACAAGAGAAACTGACCTTCCTTTCAGGAGTGCAAGAATATCTGATAACAAAGGAGGCGCTGACCAGGGAAGGGGAAAACATCAAAACTTTAAGCTAAATGACTCTTACAGGAACCAGGAAGGCGGGAGGAGCTTAAAGCTTTTAGTGAAATTGAAGAAATTCAAAATATTTCTTTTAAAATCCCCAAAAAACAAGGCAAATCCCCAACCCATTTCGGGCCCTTACTCAACAGGATGGGACTTACAAAAGAACAACAAGGAAATGAGTAAAAATTTTGAAACCCCCAAACCCCTCTGTGTTTATAACCATTTAATCGGTCTAAAGGATCGCGACCCAAAGGGAATGTAGCAGTTTTTCCCGAAAAAAAACCCCAAACCCCCGATAGATTTCGAAAAACCCAAATTTGACAACTTTCCTATGCACTCACCCCCCGGGCCCAGACTCTGGAATCCTTTTTTCATTAAAACCCTGCAAGAAAAACCCCTTTTCCCCGTGCCCAAAGGGTACACTATGGAGGAGGGGCGGGGACATGGGTGAAATTCCACAGTCACTTAAAACAACGGAAAAAGCCCCATTTCCAAAAATTTGGCCCAAAGCATTACAAAGAACAAAGACCAAAACTCTGACGCCCCCAATCATAAAAATTTTTGAAAGAGTGCTAAGAAGCGGGATTGGCAAATCACCGGGAAATTCCCCAAAAAACTGCAAAAATCCGGGCAACATGGGTTCAGGGCAGGTCGCTCCGCCCTCAAAACCCCTACTGGATAAACAAAGACAGGGGCCTTGGATCACTGGAAAAAAAATCAGAAGGGCAGATGAATATACACAGACTTTGAAAAACATTTGACAAATGCGATTCAGGGCGTAATACCCTTAAAATACTTCTAAAGGAATAACTGGGAAAGTGGGGAAAAGGACTTCAATTTCCCAAAACAAACCCGAACCCCAAAGAGTAGTGGTCAACAGAGTTAAATCGAGGCTCCCAAAAGGGGAAAAGAGCTCTGTTCCAAAAGGGGCACATACTCGCCCCCTTTTATTCCTTATCCCAATCAACAAAAACCCAGGTTTAAAACAAAAACCAAAGCACCGTATCAACCCTTTCCCGGAAGATACAGTATCTGCATAGGTTTGTCATCTGCTGAGGACGCGGTTAACCTCCAAGAAATATAAACAAATTTTTTCCAAAGGGAAAAAGGGTAAACAACAATATGATTTCAATGAGGACAAATTCCAACTACTTTTTTAAAAAAACCCTGGAGGAGAAAATAACTAGAACATAGTATATTTCTGATTTCCGGGCCTTACAAAAAGAGGGGAAAAATAAGGGAAAGGGGGACCGGGGAGTAGTAATGTCTGAAGACTCATTTTTTCAAGGACACAACAGTGCACGATCGCACGGGGCAAAAAAAATGATAGGATGGATAATGAGAACTTTCAAAACGAAGTTCCAAGCCCATGATGACCCTTTTAAAAAAATCACTTTTTTTCTCTCAAAGGTTTAATACTGCTGTACATTAAAAACTCCATTCAAACAGGTGAAATGGGCAGATTTCATAAAACCTTTACCAACGTTAAATCGGGCCAAGACCTTATCTCCGGGGAAACGTTTGGGGAAGGGCACTTGATTTGGGTACCCCGGGGGGGAACGCAGGGGGGGGGGGGAGATTATCTTTAAATCAAACATTTGGGAAAATTTTTATAAGGGAAAGGGGGGGGTTCCCAAATCTGCACACAGAAATCACTCCCTACGAAAGTAAAAGACGGGGCGGGCGATGAAAAAATGCCCCCAATAAAAAGTAGGGGGCCCCCATTGGTACACTAAGAGAAAACACCATAAGGGTCCCGGGGGGCCCAAAATTTTAAAAACAGCCTCCCATCAACCCATTGGGGGAATTGCCAATAAACCCCGGGCCCTCCCCTTCAAGAAGAGCTGGAAAAGGAATCCCTAAAGTCATCCCGGGTTTCCAGCCGGGCTGGGGCCCTCGTACGGGGGAACGCGTGCGGCCCAGCATAAACAGCCTTTTTTTTGGGGGTTTGGGGCCCGGG